TCACATATAGTGTTGGGAAAGTGTGTAGAATAACTTTTTTGTATTCATACACATTCGATACCTATAAAGTCTAAAACTCTATGAAACCTATGAAAGATGTTTTAGCTTTACACAAATGAAATACTAGCAGTTCAGTAAACAGTTATCAGCTCTCAAATTGTACTGCATTGTTCGTTTCTTCATTCACTTTCTTTTCCCTTCTCTTTGCGTGCTTCTCGCGCTCATTCTTTCTTCTTCCTTTTCTTTCTTTTTCTTGTTTTACTGTGCTGGGAGTTGTATCTTCGGAGTTGTTTACAGTCTGTTCTACGAAATGCCTGAATGACACCCTTAACAAGACCTCATTGTTTCAACTCCTTGTTGAGTACCCCTGCTATTCCCTGTAAAGTCGTTGTATTAAACCCAAGAAAAAGACTTCATTTCCATAGAAAATCAGGGGGTTTTGACCTTGTTTTGGGTAACAAAATGTGTTCTTTGAAGTTTCTTGAACTAAGGAGGAAAAATGCGAAGCACAGTGTGTTTCGTTGTTGCTGTGATAAAGGGTCGGATGGTGAAACAGATTTGGAGTTAGAAGCGGAGATTTTGGCCTTCATGGAAAAATCTGAGAATCCAAATGCATTTCCTACAAAGAAAGATTTGGAAAAAGCGGGAAGAGTTGATTTGGTGGAGGCTATAAAGAAGAGGGGTGGGTGGTATTCTTTTGGTTGGGACACAGAAAATATTCATGAAGCTGAGACTGAAGAAATGGATTTTGATATTGAGGAATTTAGAAAAAGATTTGAGAAATATCAAGAAAGTGATTCATTAAGAGGGAATGAAGATTTTGGTTTTGATTCTTCATTTGGGAATTCTTCTCAGCCAGCTTCCTCCTCTGGTAGATCACTGTGAGTTTCCTCCTTGTAAAATGCTCTTTGCCTATTTGTTTATCTTGGTTCCTCCCTTTTGTCTATTTGTTTATCTTGGTTACTCTCTTTCGTCTATTTGTTTATCTTGGCTCCTGTTGAAAAAGAATGGTGTTACATTTTGTTATTTATCGAAAATCTTTTACTTGAGTCAAAAATAGAAGTTAAAAGAAGGAATCTTTTTTGTTTCTAAGTATTTATAGTAAATCTAGTACTCGAGCCAAAACTAGAAGTTAGAAGAAGGATTCCTTGTTTCTAAGTGTTTATTGTGATTCAATTTATTTGCCATTTGTTACAGATTCTGTTAAATTTATGTGAAAAGTTGTAAACTACACAATCTTCATTTCCTCTGTCTTTGCATCAGAGAAGCTGCAGTTGAGTATGAGGAAGATAGTGGGATTGAAGGGATATTGAACCGATTAGAGTATGAGAGGATCTCATCTCTTGGTATTACTAAGAGCAAATATGGGTATGGATCTAATGGTTCAAGTAGGAATAGCATGGATTGTGGAAGCTCTGGAACAACTACTACGGGTAGGGTCCTTTCTCCCCATTTTAGTCTCCCCAATAAACCTGTTCTAATCTGTTTTGTTACCGTTTTGAATGCTGTTTAATCATCAAGGCCTTTTGTGCAGCATATTTTTACAGTTGTAGTGATAATTGAAACCTTAAAGCTTTGGCTTAAATGTTAAACTGAAAAATGTATAAGTTAGTGAATTGTCTTTATACAGTTGGAAACTAAAACATGAAATGCCATGCTTGTTACATGGTAAAAGACAGGACTGACCCAGGGAAAAATGGAAGCCTCACATCAGGTAGCCCAAAGAAAGGCAGTTTAAGTGATTCAGGAGAGCAGCTTAACCACGAATTCACGCCAGATATGTGGAGAACATGGAGCATGCAACGTACAGATCCTCAGGGCACAGAGTTTGAAGGTATTCACTTCCTGGAATCTAATCATGTTCATAGTTTGTAGCCTCAATTTGACTCCCCCTATGTACAGCTGGTGATATTAGTTTTGGTAAGACACCAGATGGAGGTAGAAGTGAATCTTCAAGAGACGGTCTATTAACCATCACAGAGAATAGTTATGAAGCTTTGGAGAGATGGAAAAATGACAACCATAATGACATAAGACCTCGTCTTCGGCGTTTAGAGCTTGAGCTATCCTCGACCCTTCGCTCCCTGAGATCCAAGAGCCAGGAGTTCAGTTCAAAGGAGGTATAGTCACGTCTTTCTTTTAGTCATGCATCATGGTCTTGCTTTTCCTACTATGATATGCTTTCATCCCATGTTTTGTACTATGTAGCATGAGGGATTTAACTGGTTTTGGTAATCTAATGCAATTCTTCCACTCAAATCACTGATGTTGCTTAACTCTGTTAAATATGTTTGTATCTGCAGCTCTTGATCTGCCTCGAGAAATTAATTAGAAGACTTCACAGGACGTGATCTTATCCTTTCATTAAACTAAATTAATATTCAACATTGTATATGTTCTGAATAAACTTCCTCCTACCCGAGATTCTCCTGGGGATTAAAACTCAATAACCTGATAGTGCTTCCTAGTACTCCCAGATCCTCACCCAAAGAATGAAAAATGATCTAAGAGCAAATTTTTTGGTTCGGCTGCCACCACTTATGGAGAAAAGGCTTTGAATATCCAAAATATATGCATTTGACAATTTCAAAAGAAGTTTTACTGTCTCTTTGTATTTTGGAGAGGTGATGCTTGTATTGCTCTGAAGAAATCTTGCTTTCTCAGGTTCTTGGCAGATCCATTAGTGATTTGGAGAACCTTTCTGATGCGCGGGAGTTCCAGGAGAATGAGGTCATAAATGCTCAGAAGAGATTGCGGTCCATACGTGCAAAACTTGCCATACTTGAAGGGAAAATGGCGTTAGCATTGATGTCTGCATCATTTCTCATTTATTTATAATTCACTTTATGATAGATACCTTTACCAAAACTTAGTTCCCCTACCATACTTTTTCAGTGATGCGGATAAGGTGTTGGAAGAGAAGCAAAAGAGAATTGATGGTGCTAGTAAAGCTTTACAGCTTCTTCGTACTACTCGGATTGTTTGGCATAACTCTGCCTCAGAGGTTCTTCTGACAGGCTCATTTGATGGATGGACAACTCAGGTTTGATCTTTGCTTCCCCAAATGTGATAAGAAATAGGAGGCAATATTGTGATGCTTTTTTTTTAAAATTGTTGGTGTTAAGAGGTTCTTTTCTGCATAATTTAATTTAGAAGTGTCACCAAGAAAGTTGACAACATGTATTTCTTGAGTTTAAGATGAAAGCAGAGTTATCACAACTTAGTTATGTCAGGATAGAAGTAGGGAATTTTAAAAGATGATCAAAACATGTATTACTAAGCAATATGCTTTTCTGGCTCGACCTAAACTGCATGATGCCAAAGAGTCTTCTTTTTTGCCTTTTTATGTGTTATTTTTTGTCCTAGTTTGCTTTTTTTTCTTTGGGGGGGGGGGGGGGGGGGTAGGTAGGGGGTGGTTGGCCAAAAGGATAGAACAGGATTACTACCCAAGGTTCTTGTCAGGATCAGATTACAAAGTGCTACTGAGATGAAAAATTCAGAAGCTGAACTGCACTTTTTCATACTTCTGGAAAATATGAGATGACAACGTACTAAGTGATGACACATTTTTTTTATGACGGAGAAATTCGTCTGCGGCCAACCCTTAAAACCAACACAAAACCTTCGAAACTCGGGGATAATGAGCCCGACTCTCTACCCTTCTCCACTTGAATACCAGGCTTAGTTGGCATGGTGCAGGGCTCAAACCTGTGACCTAAGTCACAAGTCCCTCTACCTACTAAGTGATAACACTTGTTATCCATAAATCGGTTTCAGTGAGGATAGAAATTATTGAGCAATATTGATGTACATGAGCGAAAAGGTTGTCTGTGTAACAATATAATGCTTTTTAATTTAATTATTTTGGGTCTCCTAATGATGAAACTCTGCAGTTGTATAAACCCCCTTTCACCAAAAAACAAGAAACTTTGTGTTAATAGTTTCAATGGGCTTCTTGTCCTTAGTATAGAAAGATATGGTGTGGTTAGTAGAATAATAGCTGTATTGAATTTGCAGAGGAAGATGGAGAAATCGCACACTGGTATTTTTTCTGTAAGCCTGAACTTGTATCCAGGCAAATATGAGGTTTGTATAATCCCTTGTAACGAACTTAGTGTTCAATATTACAATATATTCTGAAGTAGTGGGATCTCATTCTTTTGGTACAGATCAAATTCATTGTTGATGGCGTATGGAAGGTTGATCCTTTGTGGCCCGTTGTTCACAACAATGGTAATGAAAATAATCTTCTCATTGTCACCTAACAGCAGGTAGCAGAAAAGTTACTGTAGGAACTGAAAGATTATTAACTGATCCTACGTGGTTAAGGGACTGATGTAGTATTGCTGTCTTGTAATTACTCCAAGTAGCGATTGTCTTAGCTCAAAAATATGATCATGTAATAGGTTGCATATTAGAATTTTGTAGGTTCCTGTCATTCTTTGACGCCTAAATAGTACAGCATTTGTTTCTTCGCGGTGCAAGGCAAACATGTGTTCCAAAGATGTGAGCTGATTTGACCTATTCTTTTAAAGAAATTAAAATTCTTGTGTATAGTGTGTGCCAGTCTATTTACTAGTACAAAATTTGCTGGCTTGTTTGATCTGCCGCTGATGTTTAAAGGATGGGAAATGATAACCTCGACCCTCTTGATGAATTTGAAGAGTGAGGGCTATTTCTGTCATTGTCAGTTATTTTTTTACAGGTAGGGGTGTTCACGTTTTCAGTTTAGGTCTATTTTCCCCGAGAAACCAAACCAATTAAGTCAGTTTTTCATCGCATTGATTTTATCAATTTTGTTGGATTTTTTGGTTATTTCGATTTCTTGTTGATTTTTAAAAATGCGTGATATAGACACACACACACTGTCAAATACATATTGGAATGATTATATTATATTAGTTATGCAAAATACAAAAAAGCAACCAAATAATATATTAAATCTGCTTATTCTACCAACCAAACAGGTTCTTCTAACTGGTATAACTCATTTCCAGAAGTTCAAAGAGACAACTATGAGATATCCTCCAATTTAAAATTTCTCAGAATCGTGCCAGAGGTGCAGTGCGGAGATATTCCATGATCCTTATATATTACAATCGGGAAACTAGAAAATTTCTATCCTTGCCAAAAACTTCTGTAAAATACAACTGCCTCAATTCCACACTAGTTGGGATTAGCTCTATGAATCCTATCTTATCAAAATGGCCATAAAATAGCAAACAAGTTTTTGGATAAGCAACATGGTGAACAATTATTGTTGTGATTTGCATGCTTGCTTGGAGCCAAGGGTCTATCGGAAACAGCCTATCTACCTGTACAAGGTAGGGGTAAGGCTGCGTAAGCACTACCCTCGCTAGACCCCTATTTGTGGGATTACACTGCGTTTGTTGTTGTAGTAACAAAGTGAACAATTACATTTTAAATCCTCAACATTGCTGTATTAGAAACTAGAATTCGCAGCATACGTCCTGACAACAAATGTAAAACCACTGCCACAGTAAACTCTACCTACACATGGTTTCTTAGATTGTTCATTGCATAAACTTACAATCTGAGGGCTCGTTTGATCATTCGTATCTCCTAAGCCAAGCTGACCATGTTCACCCCACCCCCATGTCACTACTGATCCGTCATCTGTGAAGTAAAAATAGTCCAGAAATGAAGATAGGTATGAAGATAGGTGAATACACAATTGATAGTTTCTCACAATGAACTTTTGCATCAGATCCTTACCTGTTACCAAGGCAGAGTGCTCAGCTCCGGCACCAATTTGGACAACCTTTCTACTATCAAAGTCGCGGATCCTTTGCATGACAACTTCATCTTCTTTGCAAAAGAAACAAAGTTATATTCAGACTAAAGGGAGCAAATTGTGAAGTGATGGAGCCACAATAAATACTTGTTGGATATCAAATACAAAAAACATTGACTAGTTAAAATTTAATATTTGGTGTTAAACTTACATTAGGTCCAGGTAGGGATAAATGTGAGATTTAGAGAACAAACACTTTGTTTTAGAGAACCCCAAATTTGCCTTAAAAGATAAATTATTTATCAACATTGAAAATGAATGGGCTCATATGAAAGGAATAGCCGACCCCAACTTTGTGATTAAGGCCTAGATGAATGATTGATTGAAACCCTTAAATGTTCGTAATATGAAAACAGATAGTAATGGAGAAGGCTTAGAGGTCATCATATCAAGTGTTTTCAGCATTACTTTCACCTTCAACTTAATCAAGAAAGTTAGATCTATATCTTTCTTACAAGGATAGGTTCACACTAAGAGTAAAAACCATCCAAGGTGACAATCCAACCTCAAGAAGCAGGAGAAAAGGACTCTGGATTTCACAAAATTCTGCAAAAGTTTATACAGATAATCGGAGAACATTACCTGATATATGCTTCACCAAGTTGGCTTTCTGAGTACTCGTAGGAACATTATAATTGTATCTGCCAAGCATGTATACTTCCCCATCACCTATTAAAGTGGTATGGTAAAGGTAATTAAAATTTCCATATATCTTGAGATATTTCCTTATCGTATTCCCAGATTTGTAATAAAGAGCTACAGCCTAAAATACCTGTCAATACAAGAGCATGATTCCATCCTAAAGCGACTTGGATTAATGGTAAGTCTGCAGTAACACAGCGGGGCCTATACACATCTGAGGCACCAGAGAATGCTCTTCCCCATACGTATAAATGCCCATTCACTTTGGGAAAAAAAAAATAAAAAAATTTAGCAATATATAACAGGTAAAAGAATTACCAACTTGATAAGATTGTTATTCACTTATGGGGTTGAAGCTAAAACCACCAAGTAGTGGATGCTGAGACTAGATAAAGGTTGGGGTCAGCAATCACCAGTATTGGATTATAGAATGGAGTGCTCGGAAACATACCGGATACTGCTGCACTATGATCTCCATTTGCAGCGATAATCCTGATTTTGACATTTTCCAAACCCAAAGTAACCTGAGGAGCACTAACTGACTTCTGTTTGTCATCAGATATACCAAGTTGACCACGTTTTCCAGAGCCAAATCCATAAATAAGATCCTCGGTATCTCCTAACAGAAGTTAATTGAAGTGAAATATCAGCTTCACGCCTTCACCTAAATCAACATACATGCTTATGTACAGAGAAGTGTGTGAACAAAGCAAGTATATATTATAGTGAATGAGCTTGAATTATCTCCAATTGCACTTCCACAATATTGGGTTGTTTTTAAGTCTAATGTAAACTAAGATTACCAACTAAGAATTGAATCTAGGAAATTGTATTTTGTTGTTTTTCAAATGATATAAAAGGCCTAGGGATATGACCTTCGCCTAGGTGTTTGCCTAATAGGTTGTAAACTTTAAAGCTTGTTTTATTGGTCAGGGTGTATTATAGCCATCAACACTCGAGTACCCACTCAATACCTCTCGGTCAGAGAGTGATTTTGCCCAAATTTGGCTTTCTCAAGTCCAAATGGGTATTGAACAAAACGGTTGATACAAAGCTCAAGTTGGGTTTTACTATCTCTAGGTTCAACCTTTTAATTGGACTTATCAATCTCTCGATTGACCCAATTTCTTGTTAGCCAAGTTTGTCACACCTCCTTTTTCACACCCCCGCAAAGGGGTATAAGGGAGTTTTTCCAATTTAAGTGACAATCGAAACGGGATTATTATTTAAGATCAGAGTCGCTACTTGGGATAGTTAATGGTGTCCCAAGTCACCGGTTTAGAATCCCGAATCGAGGAGATTTGACTCTGTTTTAATGTCTACGAAACACAGAAATCCGGGTAAGGAATTTTGTTAACCCGGGAGAAGGTGTTAGACATTCCCGAGTTCCGTGGTTCTAGCACGGTCGCTTTGATCATACTTGGCTCATTAAAATTGTCTAATTACTTATTTTAGAACCTATGTGCATTTGCCTCTTTCGATTAAGAAATTATCTTAAAATAGGTCACGCGTACGTGTACTCGTTTGTTTGGTGCGTCAAAAATCATGTCATGCGAACGTGTCCACAATTAATAACGCTTTGTTAATATTATTAAAAAGGTTTAGTCGAAGTTGCGCGAACGCATACTCCAATTTTGTTTTTTAAAATCGTAATTATGTCACGCGAATGTGTACACAATCACGATAATATATTGAACGCGCCTAAAGGCTTTTCTACAAATGTTCATTTTTAAATATCTAAGTTATAATATTTATGAGGGCCATGAATGATTTAATTTAGATAGCACACCTCACTCCATTTTTAAGAGTCGTACTTAATTAGACCTAAGGATGTTTTTATTTACAAATGGTTTGAACTTAGTAGAGTTATTAGTTGTAAACAAAATTGGGGTCTATGTTGGGCCTTCACTATTTAAGCAGACCCTGGTCGAGCATAAGAAAATCTTTGAATATTAAAGGAGAAACTTGGGCCAACAGCAGCCCGTTGAATTAATCCCCAAATAACAATCAATATCAGTTGGGCTCAACAGCGAGCCTAATACATAATCAGAGGACCAAAGGCGAATAGGCTGGATTGCCATGGCGTGGCCCTTTAAATTGGGCTGATTTCCAGCCCAGTCCCCAAACAAAGGAATCAATTTATTATAAAAAAACAGAAAAGATTTCAAGATCGTTTGGGCCTCAAACTGAGCCCAAAAACAATGAATAATTTCAAATGAAGGCAGCCCAGCCTAAATTCCACCAGGATGCCTCGCCTGGACCATGACCAGGCCCAAACCAAACATTCAAACTCTCTTCTACAACATATGCGAACATCCAGAATCAACAGAAAATTTTAATTTAAATCATGCCATTAACAGGAACTCAACTTCAAATTTGCCATACTAACTCATGCTACTGCTAGTAATTAACAGGAGATCAATTTTTCTGAAATCCCTTCATGGATTAACATCTGACCTACTCATACTATCATAATTAACAACCCAAACATGTGAATGTATATTCAACTAAACCTTAAAAAGTTCCCCAGATAATTACATTTACTATGTATAGCAGATTGTTAAACTATCTATGAATGAACTAAACCAACTTAAACGTTGAAATCATACAAATATATCAGCATCTATATCAGCAGCACTTAAACAAGAACTAAAGCAAATATAGATCCTAAGTAACGAGGTACAGTAGCATAGAAAACATTGAGCCATGTAGGTATAATGAATCCAATTCCAAAGCAGCAGATTACAAGAGCATTTTTATCACTTTCGAGCTCATGAACGTACCTGGGAATTAAGAACAAAAGCAAAATGGAGTAAGGAGTTCAGCACAAACAAAAAAGTGAGCAAAGCAGTGAGAAAACAGCAACCACAGCTTCTTAGTTCATGGACAAACCCAGAAAACCAATAAAAACAATGAAATCTTTTCGAAATTCTTCTAAAGGGAGAATCAGAAACCAATTCGAGCTAATCTCCAAATGAAAACCATGCAGAAAACCTTTTTTTCTAGGATCTGAATTGCTGCTGTGTTTTTTCAGAATTTTGGTGTAGAGAATGATGCTGAAAGTCTGTTTTTTGAGAATGAAAGGAAAGGCACTACTTATAGGCCTAAAAGGCCATATGCTGAAAAACCAATCAAGGAAATATTCCCCAGCCTGCAAAAGGCATCTTCTAACTACCTGGGACAGCTGGCAGTCCCTTATTGGCTCAGCATATCTGTGCTAACCAAATAGGGACAGCCTTTTCTAGAAGCTTCTAAATACAGAAATTATCTGAAAGTCTTGTTATTATCTCTTAAATTAAACCCCTAAGTTTCCATTTGTTCAATTAACCCCCCTAAGTTTCTAAAGATTTGCAAACTATGGCAAACAAGAACAAGGTCTATCAACAAATCAGAAATACAAATTAAAAGATGTCAACAGAAAAATAAAGATAAAAGAGATGATGCCATTTGAACTAAAATTAACCTAATTGGTAGACAAAATATTTATCTAAATTAAACCTAAACAAAACTAAAGTTCAACGATTAATGTAGCTAAACAGTAATCAAAATAAGATAACAAAAATGCGAATGCAAAGAAAACCTAGGATTTAACTTACTCAATTTGCAAACTTAAACAATTAAAACAACCAATTTGGTCAGTTTAAACAAACAAATTAGACAACTTGTTAATTAACCTAAAACGAAGCTAAACATAAACATGAGATGAATTTATGGAAGAAACCGAATAATCATTTGAGGTACCAAACTAAAAAAAATGAACCCTAGTCAAACTAAATTCATGCAGCCATAAATAAAACAATTAAACATGCAAACAAGATAAAACAAACAAAAAAAGAGAAGGAAATTTACCTAAACTTATTCTTCTAATAAAACTGGACTGACTTCGGATTCTGACCCAAGTTCTCCGGGGTAAAATAAACTTTTAGACAACCATCAATCCACTGCTCTTACCAAGAGCAATGGACTCATGGAAGTCTTGGGTTCAAAAACCCCAAAAACTACCGAAAATTTGGAGGTGAAAGAAAATTAGGGTTCCGAAATCTTGGATTTAAAATTCGACGAGGCTAGGGCTGATTCGAAGGGGGCTAATGGTGGTTTAGGGTTCAGAGGGGTGCCAAGATTATGGGGTGTGACTTTGGGGCCATTTGGAACACTTAGGGTTTTGAGGCATCGATCTTAGATTTAAGATTCGAGCCGTTTGGTGATGATTCGAGGGAATTAGTTTGGAGATTGGTAAAGAGGAGACGACAGGGGTTCTGGGGTGTTAATTTGGGGAGGTTTGGAGGTGGCCCGCCTCCGTGAGGCGATTTCCGGCCGGCGGACCACGGCGGAGACGACGAGGAATTTAGGGGCGGCTAGGGTTTGGGGTTAGGGTGTAGAGAGGAACTGAAGGGGATTGGAATAAGGGGGGGTAGGAGTTTCGGACAGTTATACATTTTGCAATTAACCAGTTCCCAGCCGTTAGATCCAATGTGATCAACGGCTGAGATCAAAATTAACAAAGACGACGTCGTTTGGCTCAGGAAGGGGATGGACCGGGTAAGGCAAATTTGGACCTGGGTTTGGGTAATTTTTGGGTTGGTTTTGGCTTTGAATGGCGCAATTTCCGAATTTTAGAATCCCATTTTCAATTAAATCCTTATTTCCCTTTTTTTCTTTTCTTTCTTCTTTTTTTTTAATTAAAAATCCTGAATTTAAAAATCCTAAATTAATCTAAATTGCAAAATTAAACTAATTACCTAATTATAAAAATTACTCAATCAATAATCTAAAAATTAAAAAGGTAAAAATGTAAAATGGGCCATTTTTTTGTGATTTTCTTTTTTAATAAAACAAATAATTAACTAATTAATCCTAAAAATGTAAAAAAAAACAAAAAAAACAAAAAAAACAAAAAAAACAAAAAAAAAAAACAAAATGCAATGCATGGTATTTTTGGCATTTTTCATGATTTTTAATGGAAATTAAACGTGCACAAAAATGCAAACAATTAATAAAATCCTACAAAAATCCTATAAAATGGCAAATAATTGGAAAAAATTTATTTTCTTGGATTTTATAGGAGTAATTCATATAGGGAAAAAATCACGAGCTCACAAAGTTTTCCTAGACTAAGTCTCTCTTTCTCAAGTAGAGACCAAGTCAAATAGGCATGAACTAATGTTTGCAACCATTAATTCTACAATTAAAAGCAAGAACAAGGCTAAATAGTAAACATCCAACCATAAACAAGCAATAAATCAAACACCCATTAAGTTTACACTCTAGGGTTGGGTCACAACCCTGGTGAGAATCTAGCTACTCATGCTTAAAACAGAAGAAATGATAATTAAACCTATATTGATAGTTAAAATAATAAAATCTATGTTCAAAAAGCTCAAAATGGCAAAAACTACTAAAGAGGATAAAGAAAAACGTCTACTCTGGCTGCTAATATCAAAACTTGACCTAAAAAAGTAAAACTCTTCTATTTATACATACCTAGAATTTTCGGACAAAAATGCCCTTTTGGAGGTTCTGCGGCCGCACAATTCCATGTGATGTCTGCACTTTGCTTCAGACTGACAAGATTGGAATCTTGCAGCCGCATAATTCTGAACCGCGGCCGCATCTCTCTCTTTCTGCGGTC